GCACTCCAACTTAGGCAAAATCATAATATTGTCTGATGTGAGTAGCCCTCTAAATACATATAGAGAAAACATTTAAGATAATTCACTTTTTTTGTTTTTTAAATTTGAGAGGTGAATTTATTTCACAAACTCTTAATGGCTGGGACTGGGGAAGAGCCAAAGCTGGAACTCACTCTGGATTCGCACATGGGTGGCAGGAACCCAATTCTTTGAGTTATCACTGCTGTCTCCTAGGGTCTGCATTAGCAGGAAGCTGGAGTGAGTAGGGAACCACTACAAAAGTTCTTCCTTTTCCAGGGGGCAAGCAGCCATTGCATCTCTCACAAATATTTGACCATATCTCACAGGAAAGGGTACAACCTCACATGCCCAACTAGACCCAGCTGTGCAGCTGTGATATAATCACCCAATCCCCAAAAGTACCCTGAATACCAGGAAAAAAGTGGACCAACAGAGGATTGGGGCTGCCCCTACCACCAAGCGAACTTATTCTCTGGTGTTTGAGGACTCATTTCCCAACTCCCCTCTGACCCTGTACTTTGGCTGCCATCACAGCCATCAACATTCTTTTCTAGGACCCGCACCCCCACAGCCTGCGGTCCTGGATTTGTGGCTGGATTTGTCACCTTCAGAGGTTCTGCTGCCATTGGGAGACTGGAGGACACACCCCTTCATATCCTGTAACTCTGACAGTATACCTGCCACTTTCAAAGACTCCAGTGCCATTAAGCAATTGCCTCATGGGGCCTGAAGACAAACCTCTGAGTCCATATTCCCGGCTTTTAGCTGCCACCAGCACTACCAGTAGTACTTGCCTCTATGGGGACCATAGTCACTGCAAAGATTCGGTGCTATTTCCACGGGAACATTCAGTCTAGACAACGGAAGCTCTTTCACTGCAGCTGAACAAGTGGTTATTCTTCTGTGTCTACTCTCAAACCAAACCCAAAGCACCTTCCCATTCAATACTCTACAATCCATTTAAAATCAAAGTTTTCCATGGGAAAGCTACTCCACAAAATTGGAAGAGGTGATTATTACTAAATGCATGGACATCAATGTAGAGATACAGGAAGCATGAAAAAGCAAAGAAGTATGGCACTTCCAAAGGCACAAAATAACTTTTCACAAATTCTCCAAAGAGACCCCAACATAGAGGAAATCTACAAAAAGATAGAAAAATTATTCAAAATAATTATTCTAAGGAAACGATGAGATGCAAGAGAATACAGGTAGAGAATTCAAGAAGGGGAGGAAAACAGATTGAGAAACTCAATAAAGATAGACATTCCCAAATGAGCCAAATAAATCTCACAGCTGAAGAATATAATTAATGAAATAAAAAAATACAAGTGAGATGTTCAATAACAGACTAGACCAAGCAATTACTTCATGGAATAATTCAGGCACAGAAAGACAAATACTGAATGTTCTCATTCATTTTAAAAGCTGAAGAAACAATTCTCTAGAAGGGAATAGAATAGCTGTCACTAAAAATCAGGAATGACAGAAAGACGTTAGGCAACAGATATCAAACTGGAAACAATTAGTTCTAGTGTCTATAAGACATAAGAGTAACTCAAATCTAAATTAATTTTTAAAAAAGGTTTCAAAATAACCAGGAGAGCCTGAGGATTCCAACATATAGAAATAATAAATCTTTGAGGAGATGGAAATTCTAATTGCTCTGCAATTCTAATTGTTCATTACACAGTATCTTTGTGTACCAGATTATCATGATGTATCCTATAAATAGGTACAAATGTTACTAGTCATTAAAAAAAAATCATCTATCTCAGAAAGAATGTAAAGTATCCATATCTGTAGCAAATTTCAAGAAATCTGTAATAAATTGTCCTAAAATTATATACTTTATCAAGGTGGTCAAATACAAGCTAAACATAAAGTTAACTATATTTTTATATATTGGCAATGGACATGTGAACACCAAAATTTAAAATCATAGGCCAGTATTGTTGCTCGGCAGATTAAACCACAGGGAGACCTGGATGAACTTGCTCCTGGCTTTGGCCTGTTCTAGCCTTGACTATTACAGAGATCTGGGAAGTGATATCTGCTTCTCTGTCATTCCTTCTCTCTGTGTCACTATTTTCCAAATAATGAGTAACTATTAGAAAAAAGGGTATCTAAATAAATGGAGATACAAACGATGCTCATGATTTAGATGACACAACATAGTGAATGATATTTAATGTAACAAATATCAACAAAAATTTGAATAAAGATATTATTCTAAAAACATATATGGAAACAGATAGGAACTTGAAAAACTAAAATAATTTTTGAAAGCAAGAACGAATGGGAATAATCAGCGTATATGCTTTGAAGACACTATAAATCTATAGTAATGAATATTATATGATTATTTGTGGAGGAACAAACACATTGGTCAACAGAATAGGCATTAAAAATAGCCCTACACAAATAAAACCAGATTATTTTAACACTTTTAACCATTTTTAACACAGGAATTGAAGGGAGAAGGGAAAGTCTCTATAGTGGTCCTGGAGCAGGCGGACATCATTATGTTAAAAGACAGAAACACATGCTACATGTTACATCTTGGTTTCTCTATCTCTCTCTAAACTATTATTCATTTTGAAAGGCAGAGATACAGGGAGAGAGGAGACTGACTGAAAGATCATCCATCCACTAATTCATTCCCCAAATGGTCACAATGGTTAAGGCTGGGCTGGGCCTAACCCAGGAGCCTGGAACCCCATCCGGGTTTCCTAACTGGGTGTAGGGGCCCAACCACTTAGGCTATCCTATTCTGATCTCCCAGCAGGGAGCTGGGTCAGAAGTGTAGCAGCCAGAATCTGAACTGGCACTCATATGGGATATTAGCATCACAGGTGGCAGCAGCTTAACTGGCTGCACCACAATGTTGGTCCCTGTCATATCACATACAAAATTAACTCAGAACAAATCTCATACTTAAGTGGAAAATGTAAAACTAAGTAATCTCTTAGGAAAATAGGAGGAAATCTTTGGGATCAATGGCTAGATATAAAATTCTTAGATTTGACTCTAAAAGCATAATCCATATCAGGAAGAATTGGTTAATTTGACTTCATCAAGTTTGTTTTTGGTCATTAGTTACAGATTGGAAGAAAATATTTGCAAATCACACACTGACAAAAGAATTAAAGTCTCAAAACTCAACTCCAGAAGCAAGAGAAACTATATCTGCTATGATTTGAATAATTATTTGTCTTTCTATGCTCATGGAAGAGTTTAATCCCTAGAGTTTTATGTTGATACTATTAAGAAGGGAGGAACCAAACCTGATTATCATGCTTAGAGGTAGGCCTTTGGGAAAGTGAATGAATTAAATTAGGTCATTAGAGTGGGGCCCTCATGACTGAATCTTGGTGGCTTTAGGAGGAGAGAAACTGTAAGCACAGCTGCTCCTACCAGGATATAATGTGCTCAAAACGGACTCAAAGGCTGAATCATACTTGTTGGACTTCGAAATTTCAGAATCCTAAGCTAAAATTAGGTCCTTTTCTTTACAAGCAGCCTGTCTCAGATATTTTGTTATAGCAACAAAAAGTTGTCAAATATATTAGGTCTTGTTGTTTCTTTTTAAAAATTGTTCTAAAACAAGAAAAAACAGCAGAAACATAAATATTTCTCCAAAGATGATATACAAATGGCAAAAAAATATATGAAAGTATGTTCAACATCATTAGCTACTAGGGAAATACAAATTAACAGTAATACCAATACAGCTATTAGAATGGCCAAATAAAAAACACTGATAAGACCAAATGCTGGTGAGGAAGTAGGGAAATTAGATCACTACCACATTTATAATGGGAATGCAAAAAATGGAAAACCAGGGCCCAGTACTGTGGTGCAGTGTGTTAAACTTCCCCCCACCGCAATACTGACATCCTATTTGGGCACTGGCTCATGTCCCAGCGGCTTCACTTACAGTCCAGGTCCTTGGATTTATTCCTATTAAAAAAAATGAAACTAATCCAGGTTATTATTTAACAGAAGAATGAAACTATGGGAGTGCTCTGTATCATGGGATATTACTCAGCGGTAGAAAGGAATGAACTATAAAAACATTCAACAACTTTGTTTAATCTCCAGAAAAGTATGTTGGATTTAAAAAGCTAATCCCAAAGATTATACAGTATACAACTCCATTTATATAATATTCTTAAAATGACAAAATTATGGAAATGGAGGGCAGGTTAGAGATTATTACGGGTTAAATCAGGAATGTGGAGTGAGGTAGAGTTGGGAGTGAATTAGGTGTGGCTATAAAGAAACAACATGGGGATCCTTGTGATGGAAGTGTGTTGAATCTTCATTGTGTCATTAACAAATTCTGGTTGTGCAACATACTATAGTTTTTCCAAGACACTACACTGGAGGAAATTGGTAAAGGATTCAGGGGATCTCTATTATTTCTTTCAATATAATTTTCTATAATTATATCAAGGTTAAAAGTTTAATTAAGAGATAAACGGATTTATGTATCATTCCACGTATTTATTAGGCACCTGCTAAACAGCAAGGTCATGTTTAACATACATACTCCCATAAATGTTAGTTCTTAATGTTCCTTAACTCCTAAAGATTATGCCCACTTTCCAAATGATCTTCCCTAGGATAAGAATTCCTTGTGAGGTTAATGGCCGTCCTTTAAGATGTTCTGTAGCTGGGCAGATTTGAGAAAAATATAGTTTTTAACTGTAGAATTTTTCAAGGTCTTTATTATACCATAAACATTATAAATCTTCAAAAGGAGATCATGATATACAACTTTTTTCAGATTTCTTTGAATTCTCACATGAATTTAAATTGCCCTCTCCCTTATACTTTACCATAATGACTGTTGGCTTACAATTTTCTGTCAACATCTTTGCTGGAGTCGGCTTCGGTATGTTCTTTAATTTAGGCTATAGGTTTATAAGACTAAATATACCTTATTTACAGTGTTGGTGGTCCAAACGACTTACCACGTAACAATATAAATTGATCGTAGGACTAATGTGAAAACCAACATCCCATACATGACCTGAATTGGAAAAGAAAAACAAGTTAGCACAATCACTTATTTTTTTTTGTCAAAGTAAGTTTATTTTGTCTACTAAAAGAGCCCTCCAAATTCAATGAATACATTTATTATCTCTCCTTACAGTTTAAAGAACAAAATTTTAAAAAATGTTTGATTATATAATTGAGTAATTTTAACTTCTAGGGAAAAATTAAGACCTTATTTATAAATAAATAATATCAGAAGTATAATTTCAATTCTGAATGGTTACATGAAGTTTTGACTATTTGCACAAATCTAAACAAATGATACAATTTTGCTCCAATCTTCATGACTCCCCCCCTCCTCTGGAGCTTCATTTTCAGCAAATAATTGTGTTTCTGCCTACACAGGCAACCTCATTTGTGTTCTTTCTCCTGTTGCCAGTCTCCAAAAATAAGAAGTAACTACTTGTTGACCCAGGTCATGCTGTTCTGTGCTTTGTACTATATAAGCTCCCACACATTCCTAGACTTCTTTCTTTTCTACATTGAGGCCTGAATGTCTGTCTATTACTACATGGAAAAGTAAACCTAGTGGGAACATTTAATTTTCCCTATTGTAAATTTTAAATACAAAAAATTTGTACAGAGTACAAAATATATAGTTGACAAATATTTACAAAGTCAACAACTGGAAAAGCACCACTCAGGAAAAGAGAATGATCTGTTCATAGCTCAGAGATGCTATGTCTCTTGTCAGTGCAACTGCCTCCCTTAAGAAAAATCACTTTCCTTTTATAATAAGTCTACCTTTTCTCCTTTTTAAAGTGTATTTACTAACTTATACTGGTTACTTAAACATACAATCCTAAAATTCTATTTATTTCTGAATTATAATAAGATTTTAATTAAATCTTAAATTGTGATACATTAAATAATCTGAAATTATTTTTATGTAATTTTATATAATTGAATTTTTCTCTTTATGACTGCTATATTGTAGATATCCATGGTTTATTCATTTTTTGATGCTACATACCAGTTAATTGGATAAGACTTCCATGACTTGCTTACCTATTCTTTTGCTGATGAACATTTAGTTTCCAGTTTGCATCCCAATGGACACTTTTATTAACATTGCAGTAGAAACATAAGTTTTTCTAAGGTATGCTCTTATGTATTCAATTATAGGATCAGGGAACATATATACTGATACTATCAAAATGACTAAAACACCAAACTATTTTCTGAAGTGGTTATATCTATTTATATTCCAACCAATGTGTATGAGTGTCTCTTTCTCAGTAAAATGTGAAACATCAGGAATAAAAAAAGTGACATGGGAGTTGAGAACCATAGCATGAGGCAGTCAACAGCCTACATCTCACCTGCACTCGCTTTCCTTGCTCAGGAAGACACAGAGCCACCGGAAGGCCACTAAAAGGTTCTGTGCTCATGCTCATCTAACACCATGTTTCAAAACAGCAACCCAAACCAACATCAAGCTGTCCTATACCCTCCAGAGGAAACAGAATGAACATTTCTGGGCAAGGCAGGCCAAGCCCCAGGGAGGGTAGACACATTGTCTAGAGAAGTCTGCAGATTAACATGGCTTTGGGTATCATCGAGCATCTGTAGCTCTCATTTTCATATAGCCCCTCCAAGCTTGGCAGCAGGACTTCAGACTCCTTGGTGGTTTCTCTCTTTTTAAAGCTTTATATATATATATATATATATATATATGTCAGACTTACAGAGAGAAGGAGAGACAGAAAGAAGATCTTTCCTCCAGTGGCTTACTCCCCAAGTGGTTGCAATGGCTAGAGCCAAACCGATCCAAAAGCAGGAGCAAAGAGCTTCTTTTACGTCTCCCATGTGGGTGCAGGGTCCCAAGGCTTTGGGCTGTCCTCTATTGCTCTCCCAGGCCACAAACAGGGAGCTGGATGGGAAGTAGAGGAGCTGGGGACACAGACTGGCACCCTCGTGGGATATAGGTGCGTGCAAGGCAAGGAGTTAGGCACTAGACTATTGTACTGGGCCCCAGTGATCTTTTTCTGAAATGACTGAAACAGCCTGTGTAGGTCAAAACCTCCACGAAGACCTCTGCTGGTTCCTGTTCATCCTCTGTCTATTGTTCTGGTGCTCCTGATGCCCCAGAAGCACATGCAGGATTCTGAAGTATCTCAGCTGTGTCAAACGCTTTGAGGAAAATGAGCTCCTCCTTCATGTCGCCTGTCCGTGAAACAACACCACCAGCTGCCACTGCTGCCTTGCTTATTATGTTTCCATAGGTGGTTTATTTTTAAGGACTTTGTTCACTTTAGAAAATAAATTTTAAAGCTTATTGGTGTAAATTTGTTTATCATATTACACTAAACTTTTAAGACATTTTTGGTGGCAAAAACCCAGTAAGTTTTACCATCTTAATTTTTCAGTGTACGGTTTAGTAGTTTTAAGCATATTCACAATGTTGTGCAAGAGATTCTTAGAATTGTTCGCTTTCAGCTTCCCTTTCATCTATCCCCTAGTAACCACCATTCTATTTTCTGTCTTTTTGAATTTGACTACTTTAGATACCTTCTAGAGATGGAATCAAACAATGTTCTTTTTTGATTGGCTGATCTCCCTTAGCATAATGTCCTCAAGATTCCTGCATGTAGTGGCACAGGACACAGTCTCTTCCTTTTTGAGGCTCAATGATATCCCACTCTATGTGACACAGTACACTTTGTTTATTCATTCAGACACCAGAAGATATCTGGGCCATTTCTACTGCTGCTGCTGCTGTGGGCGGTGTTGATGGAAATATGGGTAGGCAATTGATTTTTTGAGTCTTTGCTTTCAGTAGATTTTCAATAATCTCTTATATATAAGAAATGAAAAATGTTTTCCTCATTCTTTAGTTGTCTGGTCACTATTTTGAATCTATAATTTGTTCTGGAGGGTTTTTTTTAAATTACACATTTTATTTATTAGTAAGGCAGAGAGTGCTCTGCCAGAACCTAGGGGAGAAGCATTGTGCAAATTAATTATTCAACACTTCTGACTCTTAAGTTGTCTTACCCATAAAAAGAAGATGACAAATCCTATTCAGATTTTATTTTTAATAAAGTAAGGTAAGTCAAACTATATAAGCAATGTGAATAGATATACTAAACATATAATATTTGTCTTAGACTAGACATAATATAATACTAAAAAATTTTACTTTCCATCTTTTTCAAATATATTTATGTTAGTAGTGTCCTTATATCTCTAGGTGATAATAAAATGGCATAAATGAAACAATAAAATTTAAAGAAATCTGTCATTTATTTTTTCCCAGTTTACATAGTATGCTCCTTATCACAAACTCTGAGGGTCAAATGAGAAGGGAGAAGCATTGATATATTGCTGTGTCATGTTTAGAAATCTTTTTAAAAATAATCATCTTTAGGAGACCTCTATGTCGGCAAGATTCTTGCAACAAAGTTCCGAGACATCAGATGAGATCTTATCTGACGTATTCAATTATTGATTTGTTCAATCAGCTGCTTAAAGAGGGTCCATTAACTTCTTAAACATTCTTTTTAATTTGTTTTATGGATGCTTTCCTTTTTTATCTTACTTAAGGTGTAATGTATTCCTATTCAATGTGTGAGCTATATGCTCTGGCCATTGCCCTTTATAGGGTCAAATTAAATAAATGGCATTTAGTTCTCATCTGATCACCTTGGATTTAATATAGTGGGGAAATTATATCAGTATTTTCCTCCTCAGGGAGCTTATCTGATATGCAAGACAAATAATCCAGGATGTAGCAAACATTTTTTAGAGTATTAACCCTTTCAATCCTAAATTTTCTCTCACTATGAATCTCCCAAGGCTTCCTTTCAGGAGCATTTCATGATTTCTCTGTCACTTGATATCTTCATATGTATCTTTATTACACTGCATTATTATTTATTGCCTGTGCCTTGAGCTATCTTGTATTAATTACTTCTAAACTATGTCTGTAAATAAAATCTGTGTGGGACACTTTTCAGGTGAGGAAATGAAGAAGTAGAGAGAGCAAGACACTGGCCCAGGAGCATGGGGTCAAGGTTCCAACTCTGAAGCCATCGCTAGTTTAGGTTAGACAACGCTGTGTGCTTTTCTATTGTTTTACCATTGAAAGCTATTTTAAATCTTGTCATTTACAAATTGCAAAACAATTTTTCTAAGTTTCTATGTATAAGAATGTCAAGAGTTACATAAGGAATGGGGAGCAACACTCAAAACTTGGACAAATACAAGAGTCTCAGAAAAAGCAGTTCTTTTAATGTACAAAAAGAACTGATTTTGTTAAAGTCATACATATATGGTCTCAATGCTAATTATGTAACATATCAGCAATAGAATATTATGGATTAGACATCTGAGACAAAGGCATCTTCAACTAAAACACTCTATAGTAGTGAGAAAATAAAGCATAACAGTGAGCCACTTTCCCTAAACAGCTTATTAAAGCCAAAGTAAATAATAAGAAATATACCAAGTAAGTATTTTTAACCTAAAATACTAGTTCCAATCCCATTTTGAAGTTTTGAACCAGATGGACTCTAAACTGTCACATCATTTTATACTATTATAATCTTCAAGTTTTGGGCTACTATAGATAAGAAATTCACTTTAGAAAACTGAATGAAAATTGTCTTTCCTTTCCATTAGTTGCTGCAAAACACCAAGGCTGAAACAGATATCTGAATATTAAAATGGGAGATTATTGCAACTGAAAGCACAAAATACAGGGAAATTATGCTTATTAAAAACATTTAAAGAATAATTGGGGCCGAAATTGTGGCAGCAAGTTAAGTTGCTGCCTGTAGTACTCACTGGCTTAAATCCCACTTGCTCCAGTTCCCATCCAGCTTCCTATTACATCTGAGAAAGCAGCAGAGGACAGTCCAAATGCTTGGGCCTTATGGGAAACCCAGATGAAGCTCCTGGCTGGAGCCTGGCCTAGCCCCAGCTGTTATGACCATGTGGGAAGTAAGCTACACACACACACACACACACACACACACACACACACACACACACACACTCACACTCACACTCACACTCACACTCATGGAGAGAGAAAGAAAGAGAGAAAGAAGTAGATATGCTTTCTGGTTCTTTTTGCCTGTAAGAACAAAGGTGAACTCGCATTACTGAACACCAAGAACCGGATGGATCTGAAGAGTGGCTGTCACAGGTACATTCCTGTAACCTCCTACCGGTTCTTGAATTGGCAACTGTGGTTTTACACAATGAAACTCTGCCATTTTATTTTTCAAAATTTGTATCTGTTATAATTTCTTAGAATGAGAAAACACAAAGTAGACATGTGTTATTAAGCAATCACATTATGATAATTTTAAAAAATTACCTGATGGAATATAGGCTCTTTTACTTTAAGGTAAACCTGCAAAAACATTAGATGAAACAGATATAAATGAGATGCACAATGGAGAAGGGAAACAAATCTATTTCAATAATGCTGCAAGTCCCAGATCTCTGTTGCTTCCCTTACGCTATTTAGGACTGACTTCAACCCTATAAATCCAATCAGATTAGGGTGGATGGCTCTAGGCAAATGCTAGCCTTGCCACAGACAACAAAGTGCTTCAATCTGTAACGCATTCCTCTGGCCTCCTCATCTTTGCATCAGCACCAAAGAAAGACAAGGAAACATGGATTCTACCAAAATATGAAGAGCAATTATGTTGAGAATTTCTGTAGTAGATCAACAGGAGAGGAATGGAATTGGAGACAACAGCTGAGTTCCAACTTACCTGCTTATTACATGTCATGAGCGTATTTAACCTAAAGATTCACTTTTTTCCATATGTAGATAATGAAGAATAATGATAGTGAATAAAGATAAGTTGAAATTGGTGTAACTGCCTACTACACAGTGGGTACTGTTAGTGAAGACATAAAACCAATTTCTTGTGCTCATCTCTGCTTCCAAAATTTGCCAACTCACTTGTATTCCCAATTACACAAACCCTAATTTCAGGTGCCAATGACATGTGGGTGATTAAATTCAATGCTTGCTTAAGATTTAGCAAAGAAATATTCCTCTAAAGGAGCACAATATTTAAATGACATGGCATAGAGGAATTGATCATAACTTAAATCCTAACTATGTCGTGGTCCATATCATTTACAAGACAAAATTCAAATGTCTCAGCCTGACATTAAAAATCTTCCATGGCTCCTATTTTTTGTTGGTCCCTCTGTTGAATTCTTGTCTCCTTCTAATCCTAGGTCCCAGAATGTACTATGTTTCTTCAAATATGTTTCTTCTGCATCTTTAAATATGTTGTTCTTTCTTCAGAAATACTTCTCATTTGAAAATATTCATCTTTCAAGAGCCAATTCTAACTACACCTCTTAAAGTTTTTCTGATCCCTTTTCCATATAGCAGAAGCAACGCTCATTCTCCTATTATCACTGTCCAGATACAAACTTGGCATCTTTTAGTTGTCCTTCCCCATATTAAGACAATCATCTTTTTGAAAATAACAACTGGTGTTCAATGTATTTGTATCCTGATAAAATTTTATATAATTTTGCATTTTGGCTATGCTAAGTTCTTGTTTGTGGAGAAAGTATCTATTGTTACTACCAAAAGTCCAGATTATTTCCTTCAGACACCCACAGAATTTTGAAAATATATTGTGTAACGGTGGCCGTGAGCTCCTGGGGCTTTCAGCAAAGCCTCACGCCTGGATCGCACACCGCGGATGCCACACACAAGTGGTGAGCTGCCACTTGGGTTGGCTGGAGCCACATGGGCTGCTCTACTGCTCGTCCGAGAGCCTGACAGCCTACGGACTGGAGCTGAGGGCAGGGCCAGGAGGAGGTGGGACTAGGGCCAGGGAGAATGACTTCACAGCCACTCGGCCAGGGAGTTCTGAGAATTCTGTACTTTGTTTGCTGCTTAGATAGCTCCATTTTGAACCCTCAGTGCTTTGTGAATGTGAATCAATCTTAACGATCCCCAATGACAGTTAATCTTCCTCAGATGAACCTGTAATTATTACTGTCTCAAACCATGTGTTATGAAAAATTGCAATACCTAATATACTGTCAAAATCTTGTGCTACTCAGAAATGGAACGGGAGAGCAAGGATGTCTTCCATTTCCTTTGAATGTGTGAGGAAGACCTGTAGAGTAACCTATCAGGAGCATAGCACGTAACCTATTGACAATAGACTCAAAACGGAATTAGACAATGGTAAAAACACAAAGATATACAGGGGGAATCAAAAGAGACCCTAGCAACCTATTAACAGGTGGTCACATGCACAGAGCAGGGGAGGCACCCAGAATGGAGCAAGTGAACAGGAGGAGGCTCGTGTTCCAAACCGGGAGACTCCCGGATCCCCACCAAAGACTGTCAGTACTGGCACCAAGGACTGCATCCCAACTGCCAAAGAGACTACGGGGAACTGGAATGCCTTTGGAGGCTGAGAACTCAGAGGACATCCCTCCCCCCCCACCCGCTTTTCTCTGGACCTACCACTCAGGATGGAAGAAGCCCAAGCCCTTCATCATGGGACCCAGGGTCATCGGAACAACAAACAGGAACCCTGAATGGTCCTCAGAACCAGAAGAACAGTAAACCTCCTTCAGAATTGGGGAGAGGAGCTTTCTCTGGTCCTTGTTTGGTTCCAACTTTGGGTCCTCACCCTCTCTGCAATGACCATTAGGGTTGCTCCAGAGCCCCCCCTCCAAACACACACACACAAGTTAGAATAGATAGGCAGAGAACAAAAAGGAAAGCCTGATCAGCATAAACTCATACATACTTCACTAGGGAGGACACGAAGATTAAGTACTCCTCACCAAGGTATTGAGAATTTCTCTGCACACCACCCCTCCTAAACTGTCTCGCACCTCAATTGTTGAAATGTCATCGAAGTAGTCACAGAATGTGGTTAAGAACTTGCATTTAATCTTAATATATTGCTTATTCAATACTATGTCAATTAGTTCCACAAAATTGCATATTGTTGCTGATGTTATGTTGGGGCTTGTAATTGACCGGGATTTTACTTTGTTGGCTCTAACATTGGACCAGAGAGGGTCTCCCCAAGAAGCTGTTGAACTTATCTAGAAGATGAGATGCCGGACTCTATGCTAGGTATATGCTCGCAGGGAAGGAATCTCAACTGAACTTGACCTGTGGATACGCAACAAGGTGGAGGAATCCACCATGGGGAGAGGATTGGGGAGGAGAGGAGGGAATTCCAGTACCTAAAAAGCTGTATCACATAATGCAATGTAATAAATTAAAAAATATATATATATATTGTGTATGAGACATTATATACCTACAACTCTAAGTTCAGTAGAGGAGAATGATTCTAATCTGAAATCCTTTTTGCAAAATACTGATTTCTTTTTATACAGATAATGCTATCAAATCATGACTTTATTAATAAAAGAAATGCAAGAGGTCATGCATCTTTTATTTTAAGGCAAAAGACTGTGGAATGTTTACTATTTTCCAGGTGTTAGGTTTCATAACTAATATGAAAAATATACTAATACCATCTTCATTTTACATGCAATGCAAATTAAAGCTGAATGGGAATTATAACTTACCCATGTTTCCATAGTTACTCATTACCATTGTTGGATCCAAACTCAGATCTGACAGACTCCAAAGCATGTTTCTAACTATATAATCTCTTAACCTACAAAGGGATCTATTCTTGATTCTGCTACCAATTCTTTCTATATAAATTTGGTAGGCGAGGCAAATCATTGACACTGTGGACTTTGTGCTCTTTCTTTTATATATTTATAACTATATGACTTTCTTTTCCTCTCTGGAATTCAGGGATCCTCTCACTATTTGTCAGTACGTAGTTCAGACAAAGGAATGTAGAAACTTAGAAAAATAGTTTACATGTACATGCTCTTCCAATCCCCTACTTTAATATCTCAACTAATTGAAAATCAGCTTCTGCCTTCAACTGCTGACAGTATTCTTGTTAAGGTTACCAGGACTTCAATTAAAAAATTTCTATCAGTTAGCCCTCAATCTTCATTTCACTCATTTGTTCAGAGTCAAATAATGCTACATACTTTTTATTTCTAGATATCTTTGACTATGTGACATCAAGTTCTTGTAGCTGTCAACATCTCCTGTTAACTTAGTCTCTTTCAAAAGTTCCATTTTTTCCCCAAAATATTTGGTCTTCAAGTGCCAGTATTCCTAAGTATCGTATCATTATAGTCATCTTGATGGTCTATACAATCTGTGCCAGTTTATTACCACAATGCTAGCACTACCCAATACCTCGACAACTCCCAAATCTACATCTTCAGCTCAAGCTGTCAAGCCTTAGATATTATTAGTATCTATATGTTCCAAGTAGAACTTAACTTATGACAAAAACCTACTCATTATCTTTCCTGAAAAAGCAGCTTATCCATACTGTATATCCTGACTGAGGAGTCAGTCATTCCAGACAAATCCATTCTTACTCCACTTGTGTTCTAATTAGCTTTTCTTCATTGCCACAGTCACATTTCTTCAGTCTGAGTCTACTATCTTGCAGATCAAATGCAAAAGTCCATGGTCTACCCTCTAGTCCCTAATCCATCCTCCACAGAGTGATCTTCCTAAAAGTCTATGATTATGTCTTTCCTCTACTTTAAACTTGTTAATGGTTCTACATGGTATGGATGATAAAAATCAAACTCATAAATAGGGCACATCAGGAAGGGTCATTGTAATCTGGCATTTGATTAACTAGATTCATCACTGCTCTCCACTTGCATATGTTCTACTCATACAAAAATATCTGATTGTTTAACGAGGCAATGAAGGTCAAGTACTCAGTATAACATCTGGCATACAGGTGGTAATTAAATTAGTTGTAATTTAACAGGTTGTTTTAAGGCTCTTTGTCTATGGACACACAAAATTCTAGAAATGGTTCACCATATACTTTCCCAGAGGCCTGAAACACTAATCATCAGTTAAAACCCAGTTTAACTTCCTTCTTTATAAAACTTTCCTTGACTTCTAAAACTGGTTTTATCGGTTCCTCTGTGACTAGTTCTTATCTCCAGTATTCTAGTTGTCATCTTGAGAAGCAATTCTTTGCCAACATGTCTTAGTTCTCTAATAGAATGGAATGAATCCCTCATGGAGAGCAACTACTTTTTAGTCATTGTTTTATTAATCATTGTTTTATTTCTAGTGTGTGTCATGGAGACTTTCAATGTTTGCTGACATGAACATATTTCTTAATTAAAAAAATTCAATTTACTTGAGGAAAAGAGCACCTGGGTAAGATCAGAAGTGACTGCCTAGCACAATTTAATAGAAAGGGATTAACTACTAAAGCAGTCACACTAGGCACAATAGAGCAGATCAATGTCTTGTTTTGGCAAATAGGAAGTAATATGCCCATCCACGATGAGAGCTGATTTTCTTGTATTGGTACTACTTTTACAGAAACAAATTTTAAAAGTCTCAGTCTTACAGTGAAAAACTGTAAACAACACTTGAACAGGAAACAAAGGAGCATCTCTGTGAGGTATTCCAGTTTTGTGCAGGAACATTTCAGTTTGAGCAGGATGGGGTCAACAGTGGGGGTAGAATGTACCAAACTCCATAAATGGTCATTTCACATATACTTGATCTGTGAGAAACAAAATATGACTTACTGTGGTTACTATTAAACTGAACAGAACTAAGGCAAAAATCAGATGGTAGTTTACTGAGTTCTTGCTCTTGAAACATTCAAACCTTTAAAAAAAGAGAGAAAAGATTTTTTAGAATGTTACTAGAAAGAAATAGAATGTTATGTATCACTTGCTTATGTAACTGTGTGATCTAATTAAATTCATAATTTCTTCCTGATGTAGAGTAACTAGGTAGTTAGCTCAGGTCTGAGTGAGCTGGAAGTTCCTCTAAGCCCCAGAGTGTAATGTCTTTATCTGTCAAATCAACCTCAGCCACCTTTCTAAGATGCCCCTGTGTTTCATCTGGAACCAAGAAGGAGCAGAAGCCACAAGGATGTATGAAAACAAAGCCTCATGTGAACATTACGGAGGGGTCATAAGCATCCCAGATGGTTTCAAGCATGATGAAGCACCACCCTTGCCTCATAAAGCAGACGGGGAATGGGTGAGAGCACTCCCTTTCAGAAGTGGACCTTGATGGGGTGCTACTCAGATTTCCTGCCTGGCTAGGTACAACTCTCTGGCCCACTCAGAAGGGCTATATTTCTCTCAATGCGGGGGCGCACTGTCACACATGAATGTATGCCTTCTCACTCACTGTTAAATAAATTGTTTTTCTATTTGCACACCTATGTAAATGTTTTCACATGGGTTATTACCTCTGTGAGGCAAGAACCCAGAATACAGTCAAAGTAGAGATGCAGGTGAAACTCAGGTCTGAGGATGCTGTTTGGGGACAGTGAACGTGAGTGAACAAGTGAGGGAAAAACAGAGGAGTGATCTGCAAGGAAAGAAAAATGAAGGAGAAATCAAACATAGGAAGTCAAGTGGAGAGGAAAGGTGGAAGAGGGAGGGAACAGGCAGCTTTTTCAGCTCTTGTGAGAGAAGGCTGTACTTTCTGCTACTGGGCTCTCTACAAATTTTTCATGTTCTTTCTTTTTTTTTCATGTTCTTTCAAAAAAGTTATTTCTTAACTCTGGCTAGCTGGAGAGGGTTTATATCTTGTGACTAATGATCCCTAATTAAAGAACACTACTACAGGGACTGGCATGGTGGCCGAGCAAATTAATCCTCCTCCTGCAACATCAGCATTCCATTTGGATGCCAGTTCATGCTCCAGCTGTTCCACTTTTGGTCCAGTAGGGGCTCATGGCCTGGGAAAGCAGCTGAGGACAAGGACCTGCACCCATGTGTGAGACCTGGAAGAAGCTCTTGGCTCCTGGATTTGGATCAGCTCAGTTCCAGCCATTATGGCCATTGTGGTGAACGTATGGATGGAAGATTCTCGCTCTCTAACCCTCTGTCTCTCCTTCTCTCTGTAATTCTGTATTTCAAATAAAAATAAATTTAAAAAAAAAGCACTATTACAAAACTATTTTATTATAATTCTTCCTTTCCTTATCTTTAGCCAGTCAAACTTGACTGTAAGTTCCTATATGCAGGCTTGAAAAATATCAACATATTTAGTCAACAGGATAGTGCCTGACAACAGAAGATGAGAAAATAACCGGATATTAGCAAGTATCCAACTTTTGAAGACTGCAATGGCCAGGGCTGAGCCAAACCAAAGCCAGGAGCTTCACTGGGACTCCCAGGTTGGTGCAGGGGCCCAAACACTTGGGACATCTTCCACTGCGTTCCTAGGCTCATTAGCAGGGAAAGAAAAAGAGGTGGCAGAAACCCTAAAATTTGTTCTCTTCTCCCAGACAATGAGAGTAAAGATACTATGGCTCCATTTTCTTATTATGGCAAGCTCTATCCTTTCCTACTCTACTGAACTTTGTATGTGTCTAATTTTGATTATATCGCATGGAGGCTGCCTATTTCTGATTCTGTGTTCTTTACTAGACCACAAATGTGTTGAGGTAAAAGACTACTTCTTACATAATTTTCAAATTTCCAATGTCCAAATAAGCAGCTTAATTTCATCTCCATGAGAAACTGATAGTAACCTCTAGTTTTACAAAAGAAGAAATAGAAAAATTAAATGACAAACATGAAGATATCAAGTTAGTAAATATGAAGCGAGAAATGGAACTAGAAGTTTAGCATTCCTACCATCTAAATGATACCTGATATAGTGTAACCAGGCAGTTAGTAAGATTTTAGGTGAGATGAAAGTCTTGAATTTCTGCAAAGTGATGCTATCTATCTGTTAGCTTGATAAGTTCACCTTCTAAGGATGCACGCTAAGACCTTATCCCATGTATATGCTTAATCAGAGTACAACCCATTTTCTTATAAAGGGTTAGAAAAGCAGGGAGAGACAGGTCTAGGTGTGCCTCTTTCATTTTCATTTGGAGGTGCTGTTCTAGTTTTCCCTCTTGCTCACAGTTAATTCTTTGATTTGCTCATGATAGATATTTCTCTCTCCTTTTTTTTATATAAAGTCTTTTATTTTTATGTTGACAATCTTTACATAGTTAATTAGGGTAAGAAGGTTCAAGGGCTACAGGAAAGTGGATAATACTAGTATGTTTTGATAGATATTTCTCTATGGAAGAGAGCTCATATTCATGCATGAATATGCTTTCTTTCCTCACTGTTAAATAAATTCTGTTCCTATCTGCACACGACACAAATCTCCATACAAAGATCCACTACAGGAGACAAAACTCTAGACTGGAAATTAATATATTCATCACCCACATCAATATTCAATGTTCCTTAGCACTTTGAGTATAACCACAGGAATGCTCTGAACCAATTCCATAATGAATTTCTGGTTCTTTTCAGCCTGTTCATCCTTCCTAGTTCAAGAATATTTCCTTTTAAGATAAACAAATCTCAGAATAGATTTTAATGTGTTATGAAAAAGAGCTGATCTAGAGCCAGTGTTGTGTTAAATAGGGTAAGCCCTTGCCTCTAACAGTGGTATCCCACTTGGATGCTGGTTTGAGTCCTGGCTGCTCCATTTCCAATTCAACTCCCTGCTAAAAGCCTGCAAAAGCAGTGGAAGGTCTGAGTGCTTAAGCCCCTGCTCAGTCCTGGCCATTGCAGCCATTTAATCTAGGGAGTAAAACACCAGATGGAACATTTCTCTCCCTTTGTCTTTCTCTCTCTGCCTTACTCTCATTTTCTGTAATTCTTTCAAGTAAAAAAGCATTTTTTTAAATCTCTAAAAATCAGTAAATACATACAGTATATCTGAAACTATTTTTTTCAGATTGGGGATAGATAACTATATAGCAAGGGCCAATTTCTCAGGGTGAATCTGTTGTAAGTGAAACTCTACTGGCACACAGTTATATTCATTTATTTACATATAATTAACAACTGCTTCCACATTTCAAAAGCAGAGTCGAAGAGCTGTAACCCTTGTACTGCAAAGCCTAAAATATTTATTCTTTGACTCTTTATTAGTTAGGTAGATCCTGTTCTAGATCTTGTTGTTACTAAACTTTGAAACAGAGTTTTAATGCCATGTAATCTTCCTTTTATTATTTCCAGATAAAAATTTGTCTTAGTAATTAAAAATATGAGCCAACAATGATATGGTGTCTAACAGTTTACTAAACATAAAAATAGACCTGCCTTTCCCCAACAATGGCAATTTCTTGAATAAATCTGCTTCCTAGTATCAACTCCTTTGAATTGCCTGTACAGCATCAAGCAGCCCAGGCTTAATTTTATCTGATAACATTCTTACAGCAAGTTACAGCTTCATTTTGTCTATAAAATGGTATAATATCCATTTACTCTGTAAAATCATTAAAAAGAAGTTATAACACAGAAGCTATAACACAGTACCAAGTCAATAAATAGTCCAATGTGCATATATATATATATACATATGTATATATTTAAAAAGCTGTATATATTTGAAAGTCAGCATTTATAGTAAGGGAGGGAGAGACTGAGAAACATCTTCCATCCATCACTCCCTAAATAGCTAGAGTGGCTAGGGCTGGGCTGACCAAAGCCAGGAACTAGGAGCTTCTGCCAGTTTTCGCACATTGGTACAGGGGCCATCTTCTACTGCTTTCCTAGATGCATTAGCAAGGAGCTGGATCAGAATTGAACTGACACATGGGATGCCAAAATTGTAGGCAGTAGCTTAACCCCCTAACCAACAATGCCAGCCCTAACCACTTATTTTTTCAAGACTGATTTTATTTCCCTAACATTCAAGAACAGAAAGTTAGCTTGATATTGAAATAAATGGAAAACAATCCAAGAAAGAAATCTTGGACTAGACTGGTTTGTAAGCTTTTTCATTGTTCTCTTCCATCTCTGTGAATAGTTAACCAAAATAATCATAGTCTTGAAAGTACTTATTTTGATTTAGAATAGTTTATATAAAACAAATATTTATTTAGTATACAACTTCAAAGCCAAGAGGAGAGTAAGATGACGTACTCACTATACAACTAGGAACATACTCCTCTTTTCAGAATAGCTTCTATTAACAAAGAAACTTTATCTAAAAATTTATGGCATAATTACAAAATATTTATTAATATTTATTCATAGTCATTACTCAAGGAAATGGTTCCTAGCGTAATGCCTGTGACATAGGGAGGTGGAGAAAACTGCCAAGCCACCTGAAAATAATGGTTCATGTTATCTCAAGACATACAGGATATGGGTTTGATTTCCCAGGCTGTGAAGATAAGTGCACCCCCTCCCAGGACCAGGCTCAAGCCAGTTAGATGGGACCGAGCTGACTTATACTGATCCATAGCTCATTATACACTCATTGTAACACACTAGTGAGCTAAATGATATTCTGTCAGTTACAGGAAACATTGACCTCCTTGAAACAAAGGATACCAGAGTATCAGGCAGCCTTTCCTGTTCTGCACCACCTAGTTAAATTTCTATCCGCATTACAACATTATTTCCCTTTGAGGACAGGATACTTTGCAGGACCAGTAGATTCAAACTTCATTTTAATCTCACGTCTACGTTAAATAACATACCAGCACCATGATGGTTGGCAATCACCATGAAAACTATGAGGCTTTAAAAGGAGACAAAGAAGGTGGCTCCTCTTCTGAGAAGTACATTGCTCCTTTCCCAGAAAATCCATGAGTATTCTTCCCACATATTGGCATGCTGCTC